GAAAACTGCAGGGACTTGTCCAGGCAGTCTCTGAGAATCAGACACAATTGAACAGATGATATGGCTATAGAGATAGAGACAGAGATAGAGATAGAGACAGAGACAGAGATACACATACCATATCCATATAAACCCAGTTTTGCAGCTGAATTTGAGTTCTATTTTAGTGAATTTTAATGTGGTGTAATAGTTAAGAAATTCAGTGAGCTTTCCCATTCATGACTCACTGAAGTCAGGTTCTTGACATTTCTAATTGGAACTTCATTTCTGCTCTGAATTCATGAGCTGGTCCTAGGGGAAAAAAAAACCACAATGCTTTCAACCTTATCTTTCCATGTGCGACATGTAATAATAATAATCACATCTACCTTTAAGAATGATTGTAGGATAACATGCAAAAATGTACTCTGAGCACCATAACGAAGAAAAAAACGGAGGGTACACTCATAATGACTTTCTGTACATCTGTCTTCCATACGTTCTGGAACAATTTTCAAGCATGACTTAATTCATCCATTTTTTTTCAGATGGGCAGCAGGTTTGGGAGATGGAGGCCACAGTGGACAAAGATAAGAGCCAATCTGTAAGTAACTCCATCGTTAGCCACAGAAATGCAATCTTCCTCTCTGTAAGAAAAATAATAGCTAGCAATGGAAAAACCATGCTCTCCTGGAATGCTTAACATTGGCCATAGTGAACAAGAATCCACTCTTGTCCTCATGTCTTGCAGGTGGGATTCCCATAAGTAAGAGAAATATTAAAACTAACATTTTAATTAAGATTAAAATGAATAAGGTGCTTCTCTAAGGTTGAAACTTCAGATACTATAAATCAGCCACCCTGTTTTGGAGGGTTGCTCATATTTGCAAGATTATAATCCAGTGTTCTCTAGCTGATTGCAAAAATTTAGGCCTACCATATTTGAGGTGCAAAATCTGTACAACTACTAGGTAGCAGAAAATAGACACGGGAAACTCTCATTTCCTGCCATCTGTTGATCATCTGGATTTTTGCAGGCTAGATGTGGTATGTCTATAAATATTAAATTAATGACATTATTATACTGTATTGTCCCCACACTTATTTATTATCGTCATTCTTGTTTTCAGAATATGCTGTTTGTAGAGATTCCAGAATATCGGAACAAGCACATTCGTGCCCCTGTCAAGGTGAATTTCTATGTGATCAATGGGAAACGGAAAAAAAGTCAGCCACAGCATTTTACCTACCATCCAGGTAATTGTTTATGGAAAGGGACATGTAGCACAAACATTTTGCAGGGACACAGAACTATTGGCTATGGCATCACCTGGCTGACCTTGTCTAGGTTTGTAATATAGCAGGATTGGGCTTGGTTAGCACTTGGAGGGGAAACCACAAGGAATACCAGGGTTGCAGAGTAAAGACATTGAGAAATACCTTGGAAGAAGACAATAGCAAGCCACTTCTGTTCTGTTGCTAAGAAAAATGAATGGATGTGTCCATGAAGTACCAGGAGTAGAGTTCAATTCAAAGACTTTACCTTCAAATCTGGATGGAATCTTTGAAGATTAGGCCAAGTTGGATACTAAGAGAAGATCCTGGGATTTCTATTCAGAAACACCTTCTTGAGGATTGCCTATAAAGGATTGCTTATAAGATTCCCATTTTGAGGACCAACTTGTGCAACTATTTCCCTGTGGTGTTTTGTTAGATTTCTATCTTGCCTTTCTTCAAAGCAGCATTATACAGCATTCCACCTCCTTATTTATTTGTGCATGCAATTTATACGGCCACCAAATTTGCAGATTATGACTCTGGACAGCTAACATAGGATTAAAAACACAAAAGAAAATAACCAATGAACATAAAAAACACAGAAACACACTATACAACATATCCAGAGCCAAATCACAGCATGTTCATGTTCCAAAACCATTTACCAAGTGGGCTCATTCACTTTTCTAGCTGAACCCCCATGGGAATAACCAGGTTTTTGAGGCTTTACAGAAGGCCAGCAGGATTGGGGTCATTCAAATCTCAGGAAGTAGGCTGTCAGGATACAGAAGGCACACATCCTAAGTCCCAGTAGATGACATTTTTTTACTGAAGATACCAAAAGCATGCCCACTCTTGTGGTATCTCTTGGAGTTAGGTGGCCCAACAATAATACAGCTCTGTGCCACGAAGGGCTTTAATAGGTAATAACCAACATTTTGAATTGTACTCAGAAGCCTGCACGAAAACAGTGTATCTCACGAAGTAATGATATTACAGGTAGTCCTCACTTACCGACCACAATAGGGACCAGCAACTCCATCGCTAAGTGATGTGGTCGTTAAGCACAATGTCATATGACCATGGCAACTTATGACATCAGTTCCAGCTGTGGTTGTTAAGCGCAACATCACATGACCATGATTTGTGACTTTCTGCCAGCTTCCCCATTGACTTTGGTTGTCGGAAGCTGTCTGTGAAGGTTGCAAATGGTGATCATGTGACTGCAGGACACTGCAACCATCGTATGCGTGCTAGTTGCCATGCACCTGAATTGCGATCACATGACCATGGAGATGCTGCAATGACTGCAACTTCAAGGATCAGTTTTAAGTCTCATTTTTCAGTGTTGTAACTTTGAATTGTTGCTGAATGAGTGGTCAGTAAGTGAGGACTACCTGTATATAGGTGTGCTTTGGTGCATCCGTAACTACCCATGCTACTGCATTCTGGACCAGTTGTAGCTTCCATATGTTCTTGAAAGGCAGCCCCATGTAGAGCACACTGCAATAGTCCAAACAGGAAGTGACCAAGTCATGAGTGACTATGAGCAGGACCTCCCAATCCAGGAATGGGTGCACTTGGCTCACGAGATGGAGTTGTTCAGATATCCTCTTGGCCAGAGCTACTACCTGCCCTTCAAGCAGGAGCCACACGTCTAAGATGTATACATGTGTTTGAGGACTGCAACCTCATCCAGAACTAAAAATGGAGAATCTTCAGATCTAGGGATCCCTAATAACCACAGACACTAGATCTTTCTTGGGTTGAGTAAAAGCTGCTTCTTCCTCATCCAGATACCCACAGCCTCCAGTTGCTGGGAAAAAAATTGACAGCATTAGCCAACTTAGTTGGCCTGGCATAGACGTCTAATCAAGATACACATTACTGATACATTGGTAATTTTTCTGGCAGCAGTCAACTTGTTTACGTGCACAGAGATCATTCAGTTCCATTATATCAACATATTACATCACTTGATGCTGACTTAGTAGATAGAACAATACAGGCAATATTTTCATATTACTGGGTTTGGTGGAATTAAGTACACACATTCAGTAAGTAGTCATTATGTATATCATCAGGGTGATCTATATGCCCATGAATACCATTACATCTGGTAGCTGTACACATGAACTGAGTCCATCAAAAATCATTTGGGGACAAGGCAAAAGGAGGTGACATGAAAATTCAAATTGCGGATGTGGCCTGTTGCTTGAAGCTTCAGTAGACATCAGTAATATGTACATGTGAACCAGCTGAAGACTGTGGTAGTGGGGAATTACGGCGTCAGAGTCATTCATCTATTTGACTATCTATTAGCAGTGTTTTAAAACTGATATCCTCTGTGTGTTTTGTTCCAGTGCCTTCCATCAAAACAGAGCCCATTGATGACTATGATCCAAGTTTAATCTGCAATACGGTACACAGTGGTCTGAGAACAGTAACACAGCCTTATTATTCACATCATACAATGGTCTCGGAGTCTCCTTCCTGTCTTGTGGCTACAATGGCTTCCTGCCAGCAGTTGCATTCAAATCTCTCTTCTCCTGAATCCCAATATCCTTCACAAAACCCAGGAGCTATAATATATCAAAGAAGCAAGTCTCTCAGTCCAAGCCACCTGGGCTACCAGCAGTCCAACTTGATGGGTGCCCAGGTTTCCATCCCAGATGTTCATAGGTCAGTGCTTGTGCACACAGGATCCCCTAGCCAAAGTTCAGCAATGCTCCATCATTCTCCAGCCAATCAGCCATCTTCTCCAGTGATTCATTGCTCGCCCACAGCCAATCATCAGCTGAGATGTGAAAGCCATCAAGAGTTTCAGCACATAATGTGTAGTGAAAATTTCACATCCAGTGGAGTGAGGCCCCACCAGCCTCAGGTCAGCCAAGCACAAAGGTTAAGCCCAAGTTCATATCCTACTGTGATTCAGCAGCAGAGAACAGCCAAAAACGGACCACCAGTAAGCGATCAGAAGGAAATGGTCTCAGCTGGAGTCACTGTAAAACAGGAACAGAATCTCGACCAAGCTTATTTGGATGATGGTAAGCAACATGCGTTTTTAAAATGTTATTCTCTCCCCAGATTGCCCTTCTGGAAGAAATCAGTTTGGCTGCTTCTTTCTTAGGGTGCAAATCTGTAGTTTGGAGAATACAATTGGCTGCATTTGCACAAAATGATAGCCTAGAATTATAGACTATCTTGGTGTATTATTCATATGCAGCTCTGCTGGAACACACTCCCTAATTCTCCTGCTTGGTTTCTTCTGCCAGTAAAAAGAGCTTCAATACCTTTGAAACATTAATAAGAAAAAGTATAATGTTATGAGGGAATTTAGCTGCACCAAACAAGAGAGGAACCATAAATTAACTTCACATCTTGATTTCAAACTCTGACTTTCATTAGATTATCCCAAGCCAGGAGTTCTGCTTTAGAGATAATGCTGATTTTTTTTATTGGTGGTGACTTCCTGGTTACCAAAGATAAGCTTGTTGAGATGAGGAGCTAAGGGCGCATTCAGGCAATGTGCACCTGATCAGTAAACTAAAACCTCCAAGATCCTGCTTTATCATGTTATATATTTCAGGGCAAAATCTGTGGCTTAAAACTATTGAAAAAGCCTGCTCTTTCTTTAATTCTCTAAAACATGTTTGCCTTTGGATCAAATTCCCTGGCTTAATAATAGTACTGACCTAATAAGAAATGTTTGTTTTGTTTTGTTTTAATGGAAAGCACAGCTTTACTGTTTAACTGTATCAGGTATTTTTGCAACTGTCCAAGCAAATGAATACATTGGAAGGATAAAATAAGACACTAACATTCATGCTTTTAAAAACAATTAATAGACAATAAGTATAGATTCTGTTTTTGTAAAATTCTTTTGAAGCATGCTGAATGACTTAAGAAGTTTTTGTTCCCAAAAGCAACACTTTTGCTGTTTCTTATTTTTAATTACCCTGAAGGTTATTTGGGTTGTTGGAAGTAGGGCTGGCAATGTGATTTTACCACTGGAATGGCTAGAGTTGAAATTGTCTGCTTTGGAGATGGGGAATCTGGAAGGGTTTCAGCTCAAAATAGATATCTTAAACCTAACCTATGTAGTCATAGTAGTATTATTACATGCTATACCTCCCAAATTGAAAGATATTTCACTAAATATTTTATGAAGGATGCAGTTGGCTTGCAGAACATACATTTCTAAATATTTGTTGAGGTATGTAGAACGTGTTGAAAGCATCATTTCTTTGTCATGAGTTCAGATGTTTTCACTTTGAGGAAAAATAGGAAAACTGAAATGCAGTTCATATTATTTACAAGGTTAGAATGAAATGTCTACTACTATAATGCTAATTATGGGGTGTATGTAAGCAGATATAAATCTATTTCAGATCTGTTTTTAAAAGTGCAGTTTTTCCCTTATCCATATGAATAAATGATGACCTGGAGCAGATGATTTTGAGTTTTTGTGACAAATTCATAAAGTCGATTGTGCCTCCTATTCTTGGTCAATATTTTACCTCAGAACTAAATAAAGTTCTAAGTCAAGCAGAACTGAATGAAGGCTATTATTTAGCCCTTCAGGTTTAAAACTGATACACTCTTTTGAGACATGAACATTCTCTTGTTAGTCATTCTCCTTAAGAAAACTTCCTAAGACTAGAGTTTGAATGGAGTAAATTGCTGACCTTTGACCACTGAGAGGAAGAATTACTTCCTAGTAAATTTGTGTTGGTTCCCCTTTGTGATTTTGGATCCGCTTAAAAATACTCACAGGGGTTGGCCCTGGGTGTGTTTTGGACATGATTTCTGAACATGTTCACTAGTTTATTGTGGATGCTTCCAGACAGAGGGGTTCCTGAGGTTCTTAGTTAAAAAAAATAAGTGCAGGAATTCTGTTTATTTGTTCCTCCACCTTTGTTTGTGTGTGTGTGAGAGAGAGAGAGAGAGAGAGAGAAAGAGAGAAGTAATACAGAAATAGTGCTAAGAAAGCATGAAAGAATTATAAATAGGATCTGTAATCAACTGCATCCCTGTATAGTGCTTTGGATGAGGCAGAGGATCTTTCAAAGCTTTGTCAAAAAGAACTAGGTGTGCATAGCTTGCACGGCCATGAGGAAATACATTCTGTTTATATCTGGGATACTGGGAAGGTTAAATAGTGTGAAATGATTTTCCTCCCAAAGGAAAACAAACAAACAGACAAAACACAGGTAACTAAGCATACTTAGGACAGCTGTCAGATGGAGTATGAAAAACAGATACCTGTGGTAGCTAATTTTTCCAGTAAAATTAATACTGGAAGCAACCAGTATATTTGGTTTGTGTCCCTTTCCAGACTCTGCACCTTCTGCTTTCCCCTTTCTGAAAGAAGGTTCAATCTTTATCTTTTTGTGTTCTGGAACTTACTTACTTCCTTCCTTCCTTCCTTCCTTCCTTCCTTCCTTCCTTCCTTCCTTCC